ACAGCCGACCTCAGAAGGTAGACACCTCCGAGCTGACTCCTGGCACGTCCATGGTGGAAATTCATCGAGGAGAAAGTTGGCGAGGCCCTGCAGTGCTGTTGGAAGTCAATGAGAATGAAGGCACCGCAATCGTTCGACATCAAGGAAAGCCATATCTGCTTCCTTTGAGATTTGTCCGCCCTTTTCGTGGTGTGTTCTTCAACATGGACACCACAGCTGGCACTACCTTGCATCAGATGATGGCCATGATTGAAGCAGCTCAGCCCTATAAGCAGCACTTCCTCGGCTACAAGCTGATCCTACGCCACGACGGAGCACACTGGAAGAACATTCCTTCGACTCCTACGGAAGCACAACAGAAGATTCTGTCAGCATTTGGACAATGGGAAGAATGGGCTCAGCACCCCGTCCACGGAGTTCTATATGGACAAGCATGCCATACACTTCATCCACTACCACACACTCGTGGAACCATTTTGACATGGTTGAAGGGCACCTCTGACTACATCAAGATCCACAAGGAGGATGACAACTCAATGAAGCTCAAGGATGAGTATGGCCAGCGCTGGGAATCTCTTTGCGTCATGTACATCTTCTATTACCCGACCAGCACTGAGATGGCGCCTGCAGAAGCACCTCATGGAGACGAAGTGCAATCAGCTCCTGCTCAAGCACCACCTCATGCTCCACAAGCTCCCGTGGAGACAGAGAGAGACATCGACTGTGAACTGCCCATGAAGCGTGGCTCAGCTACCACTGATCCTCCGCTACCAGATCCTGATCCCAAGAAGCCCAAGTTCGATGTCGCTCACAACATCACCACGGAGCTGCAGAACCTCCACACTCTACAGTGGATGATAGATCGCAAGAGATTCTTCCGCTTGCATAATGAGGCTTTCTGGTCAGAGACCTACTATGTGCCCCGACGGTTCAACAAGATCACCAGAGAGATGGTCACACAGAAGAGCCAAATGCTCCACGAAAAGGCCAAGGAGAAAGGTACCTATTTGGTCCACCTGGCCAGTTCGAAGAAGCGCCACTTTTACCTTGACTTGTCCAATGGTGGCCGCTACATGTCTGTCACCGCAGAGGACACGATCTCAGAGACCGATCTGGCAGAGATTTGGCCATTGGTTGAAGAGGCTGATGGAAAGGAGATGGCGCAATTCGTGGAGGAGAAAGCCTTCGCCAAGATCAAGCTTTCTGACGTTGCTGATGGCACCGTGATCATCGACGGCACCTGGGTCAGACGATGGAAGATGAAGCTTGGCAAGCGAATTGTGAAGTCTCGAATGTGCGCCAGAGGTTGTTTCGACCCCCAAAAGGAGCATCTGAGCACGAGGAGCACGACGGCATCTCGCTTGAGTCAAAGGATCTTGATGAGCACCGCAGCTTTGATGCAAGTGGATCCTGAATCATGGGATGTTTCTGGTGCTTTCCTCAAGGGACTCTCCTTTGACAAGATCCGCGAGATCCTGCTCTCCCAAGGCATCAAGACACCCACACGATCTGTGGTGTTGATCCCGCCATACAATTGCTGGCGACACCTGGCTGCTGCTGATTCTCAGTTCCACCTGGAACCTGGTGAGATTCCACTTTATGGACTACAATGCCTCAAGCCAGTGTACGGCCTAAATGACGCACCAGTGGCCTGGCAATTGAGTTTGGGAGTGTTTCTGAAAGAGCAGCACGGTCAAGCTTCTTTGTTGGACGACAGTTTCTACTTCTGGAAGGATCCCAAGAAGAGTCCAACACTACGCGCAGCTCTCACTACTCACGTTGATGACCTTGCAGTCGTTGGTGGTGGCAACTTCATGGACGACCTCTACAAGACAATGTGCAAGAAGTTTGGCAAGATTTCCAAAGAAAAGTTGCCATTTCCTCACTGCGGCTGTCTTTACTCCAAGACTAAGGACGGCTACAAGATCGATCAGACTGAATTCGCCACGAAGCTAAAGCCATCCACGAATCCTCCTGGAGATGATGAGAGAGCACTGACCGCATCTGAAGTCACCGACTTGCGCTCAGTTGTTGGAGGCTTGCTCTGGCTATGTTCAACACGTTTGGACCTGGTGGCCGACGTGGGAGTACTACAGTCAGCAGTATCTGCTCCTAAGGTGAAGCATCTACGAGCTGCAAATCTTCTGGTCAAGAAGGCAAGCAGCCCCGACCGTGTCCAATTGGGCCTGCACTTTCGCTACTTCCATGGAGCATCCAGCTTCCGCCTTCAGTGCATACATGATGCATCCTCTCCAAGCAAAGGACGCTCCTATGCTCAAGAAGGAGTCATGGTCCTGCTCATGCCCGAATTGCCTCAGCACATCCTCAACCAAGACGAGATCACTTGTGATGATGCAACGACATCACAGCTGAACGGCTATGGGCACCTCCTTTTCGCTCATGGAGGAAAAGCTAAAAGAGTGTCATACTCTACCTCACATGCCGAGACATTGTCGGCAGTGAATGGCTTGGAAGCGAGCAGCATGGTCAGTACTCGACTGACTGAACTTTGGATGGACAAAGCCAAGCCGACCTTGAAGGACCTCACTCAGCACCAAGAAGAAGGCTCACGTTTATTTCCAGTGGACTCCGCCACAGATTGCAGAGACTTCTATGAGCTGAGCACCGGATCTCGCGCTGTGCCTCAGGACAAGTCTACATCGCCGCCATCAAGGAGGCACGAGTCACTGGCCGCCTTCGCTACTTCATGCTCATTCCAACTCAGAGCATGTTAGCTGATGCATTGACCAAGCCAATGATAGCGCCACAGATGATGGAGTTTTTAAGCTCAGGACACCTCTTCATGAAGAACGAGCCCAAGCATGTAGTGTTGCTTCGCCGCCTTCCTACACTCGAAGACCTTCGAGAAGAAGATTTGTGGAAGAGCGATGACCAGATCGCACAAGAAGTACATCGAGGATCCAAGATGGCAAAATTGGCCTGCCTAACAAGCTTCAAACTGAAGCCATGGATTGCCACCCTGGCAATGACATCATTGATGATGACCACCGTGTCTGCACAAGGCCAAAATGAACCACCAAGGCCAAATGAAAGTTCCAACGACTGGACCTTCCTGATCATGATCTTCGTCACCTATATGGCCCTCCGTTTTGGCGAGTTCCTTGTGACGTCAGGCATTCAAAGCCTTCTGCCTCGAAAGAAAATTGCCAGTCCACCATCTACTCCGCCGAACTGTCCAGCTGGAACGCCAAGGACCCTGAATTTAGATGGATCTTCATCGACTTCTTCTACGGCACGACCAAAGCCGAGCTCTATTCCTGCGCCTTCCGCTGCTGTTCCAAAGATGCCTGCACCTGGCAGCCCGATCATCGACTGGTCTGCATCTGGCACGACCGTGTTCAAGCAGCCGCCGCCTGCGCCGCCGACTGAGAGCGCATCTAGCTCAGGCCCTGGCTATGAGCGTGTGTATTTCACCGCCTCCGGTGAATGTTTCCATGTGAATCCGCAATGCGGACACCTTCGTCACCACAATGTGCTTTCAAAGCGCAATTGCAAAGACTGCTCCAGGATCCGAAACGCCAGTGGAGTTTAAAGATTTCCACTGATGTCACTTTTTGTCATGACACCTTTTTCACGATCGCAGAGCGCTCTTGAGCTGGTTCAAAAGTCCGTCCTACCGACTGCTTCGAAGGTGATGTCACAGGCACACACGCTATCGCGTGATGTGGAGATCACCAGTTGCAAGCTTCAGAAGGCAAGTTGCAGAATCTGACTCTCCAGTTTCAGAATACCAGTTGCAGAATCTGACTTTCCAGTTTCAGAATACAAGTTTCAGAATCCCAGTTTCAGAATCCTAGTTTCAGAACCCCAGTTTCAGAATCCTAGTTTCAGAACCCCAGTTTCAGAATACCAGTTTCAGAATCCAAGTTTCAGAACCCTAGTTTCAGAACCCCAGTTTCAGAACCCTAGTTTCAGAATCCGACCGATTAGTTTCCGAATCCGGCTCTAACCCTTTTTACTAATAAGACACTTGTTACTACTAGCGATGCACTTGTTACCAATAGGAACAAGAAGCTGCTAGGTTCCGAACTCAACTTGCGGTCACGATCCCGCCCCATCACAGCCCTTCATGGGGTGCTAGGGGGGAGATACGCAACACAGACAAACAGGTTCAAAAAATGTGCACAAAAGTAGAAAGCTCAAAACCATTGATGTACACCTACAGAACAGATTCAAGCGGCGTAATCTCTGTCAAAGGGTCTTTCCTTGGGCGGATCTATTACTTTACTTTCTGAACAAGGTGTCTGACGAGTGCCGTTTTGTTCCAATTGCTTCTTTGGAAAAGGCAAAAGCGACGCCTCCGTTCTGACCGGAAGTGGCACAATTGACCCGCTGAAAGTGGTGCTTGTAACAACCTAATAGCAATGGTCTCCAACCTAATAGTGATGGCCTCCAATCCAATCTCGGTGTGGGTGGTATGGCCTCGAAATGGACGCAGAAACACTCAGCAGCCGCTCGCGGACCAAATGCCGCACCGGAAATGCGCCACATCTCCATTCGGCGGCAAAGAGCTATTAGGAACAAGTGCATCGCTTCTAGTAACAAGTGCCCTACTAGTAGTAACAAGAAGCTACTAGGGGCTCCTGGCCTTACTACTAGGAGCCAGGACGCTACTAGGACTCCATTCGGAGGCAAAGAGCTATACAGAATCCACTCCTGTTCCCGATTCTGCAGAAATAGCGTCCTTGCTACTAGTGGCTTCTTGTTCAGAAAGGGAAGGGTTTTTCAAGAATTGTGTCTTGCCTGGGTGGGCGTTGAATTTAAAGCGAAAGGCGTCCGAGCTGATTGATGAGTGCGCGTTCGAACTGTGAACCAAAACTCCCCGACCTCCCTCTAGTGCGTCTTGCTCGGGGCCTCCACCTAGTAATTAGCGTCCTTGTTACTAGTAGTTTCTTCTTACTAGTAGTAATGCCCCTTGTTACTAGTAGTAATGCACTTTGCTACTAGTAGCAGTTAGGGCATTTTCCTCCGTTTGCAAGGCCTGGGTGGCGGAGGAGATCAACGCTGAGCCACGGCGGCGGAGGCGGCTGCTGCTGAGGCGGATTTGGGTCATCTGCGCGTGGCCATTGTTGAGTTGGAGGAGCTTTCTGGCCAATAGCCGCTTGGGACCGAGGTTGGGGAGGGATTGCTAGTAGCGAACATTGCTCCTACTAGTGGCGTCCCTGCTCCTAGTAGCGATGCCAGGAGCCCCTAGTAGCTTCTTGTTACTAGTATAGGCTTTTTCGCAGGTTGATACAAGAGTCTTGGAAGAAGAACTGCGGATCTTTTTCTTCGGGCTTTTTCATCGAGAGGGTAGCTGCCTGACTTCCCAACAGGCCTTTGATCAAGAAGAGATGTGCTTCCTTCCCTGAAAATCCAGTACCAGAAAGTGCCGATGGGTGGAAATCAATACAAAGGAGCTTACAGAAAGTGCAAGGAGCTTCTTTTTACTACTAGTAAGGCACTTGTTACTAGTAGCTTCTTGTTACAGAAGTGTCGTTCAGCTTCCATGAAGAGGGCATGTGATCAGATCCTCTTGTGCAACCACTTTTCGTGACGTTCCATGTCCTAGCAGCCTCAAAGAAGGCGGTCGTGATGAATGGCCGAGGTAAGACGCAATTCAGCTCGGTGATCCGTTGGTTTATCCTCCCAGAGGGTCGATTGCCGAAGCCCCTGGAGCTTTACAGGCGACCGGGACACGGGAAACAACGCCGGAAACACGAATGAAGAACAAACTAATGGCAATGGCCTCCAACCTAGTAGCGTCCTTGTTCCTAGTAGCGATGCCCTTTGTTCCTAGTAGCTTCTTGCTCCTAGTAGTAAGGCCAGGAGCCCCTTGGAAGATATAAAGGCAGAGGAGTTAGGAGTTGTTGTACTCGCTTCTTCATGCTGTGGGATGGATTATGGTGACCCATCTCCACTTGGAACTCATTGTGGGAATTGAGTGGGAAAACTCTCAATCGTGCCCGAATGACGCAAGGCAGCTAGACAGTAGGGTTGCTGGTAGCTTGCTATGAATGGTTACGGTAGATTTCTTGCATGACCTTCCTGAAGATGAACATATGTGGGTGCCTGTTGCTGGGCGCGGAGTCAACTATATGAGTCATATATGAGACTGTCCAGGCGAGGGAATATGAAGGTAGACCTTTAAAGACCTTTTCTGTTTTTCTCTGGACCTTTACACCATGTTCAACCTTTAGATCTGTTCTTTTCTTTTGCTCACAGTTCTCTCTTCATGTTCATTCATCATGAGTTCTTCTTTGGTGAGAACCTCCAGCACGCACCATGTCTTCCGCTTGAGGTCCTTACTCTTCCTGGTCTTCGGGTCGATCTTGAGCTCCATGGCACCGTGGCTCCTCCTGGGTGCCATCGCCGGGGAGATCATGATCTGGTTGGCCTTGCAACTCTGTCAGGTCATCCGAGCCTTGGAGCAATGTTCGCTACTAGGAACAAGGGCATCGCTACTAGGAGCAAAGGGCATCGCTACTAGGAGCAAGGACGCTACTAGGGGCTCCTGGCCTTACTACTAGGAGCAATGTTCGCTACT